AAAATATGTGGCGATAAAAAAAAAAAAAAAAAAAAAAATTTGGGAATGTGTTTCATTATCCAGTTTTCGTTTCATTGGAAATGGGAATTAATTTCTAAAAAATTTCGAAAAAAGGATAAGTTTATGCGGAGGATGATTTACAATGCTTAATAATGCTTAATCAAACATAAAACGTCCGTAAATGAAAAGCCTCTAAAGATCGTAGCTAAGCCACTCTTCGAATAACACGGAAGTGGATAATTTACGACACATTATTAAAAAAAAACCAGGAAAAAACCTTTATTGAAAACTTTTTATTCGGATAGAACATGTGACCAGTTCATTTAATTTGTTAAATAACCTTTTTTATAATTGTGTCACAAATAAAATTTGAATGGTTTTGAACGTAAATAGTTAGAAAAAATCGATTTAACTTAAATAATACTTGTTATCATTCAAAAAGAATCAAGTTAATTGTTTTGAGTACAAGTTTTTTACAATTGAATACAAAAGAAAATACAAGAATATAATGAAGATTATGAAGATTATTATTATTTTTTATTTTTAAAAGTTTCTCCAGTCTATAATAAAGATAGTGAATTTACAAATTACATAGCTAAAGAAACGAAATGTTACGTTTGGGGAATTTAGATTTTGACAAATGACGTGTACATACGTGATTGCCTGACAATTGATTATCATCAAAGATTACGTAATTGAGATTTATAGATTTTATATCATCGTTATTTCTTTAAAGGCAAAGTAGGCAAAGTGTGTGTGATCAAATTTTGTAACATGATAAAACAGATAATCGTATATGAGAATGGATCATTCTAGCAATTTTGGATCATGTGGGTAACGACGTAACGTACTAGAGAAGTCTAGCATTTTCCCGGATTTATAAATTTCCACGTGATCGTGTTTCGTGACTCGTGGCTCGTGACTCGTGAGCCGTTCGTGGTTCGTCACTACTGCGTCACTACTGCGTCAGCGTGTACACGTGACAATTTGGCCTGAATTATGAAATTAAAGTGTGTGTAGCGTTATGGGCGTCCTTACTCCTTATCTTACACTATTACAGCCAGTGTCATCAAATTCGTTGTTAGCAAGGATGTTTCAAAATGATGCTATTAGCATTGACGAAGTAGCTAATTATTTAGCTCTCCCCAAGATTCATCATGACGATTGTCCTTTAACATGGTGGAGAATTAATAAGACTAGGTTTCCAGTGCTGTCAAAATTAGCAAGAAAAGACTTACAGGGGATTCCTTAATGTACATACAGTGGGGGTGTACGATATTAATGTACGAACTGGCCGGAGTTAACGTTAACGCTATCACGTGCAAGTGCATAACTCCTAAACTCGGGCCAGTTTGTACGTTAATATTGTACACCCCTACTGTACGTTAAGGACGCCCATCTTACAGGGGGGATGTACAATCTTAACGTACACCTGGCAGCCCGAGTTTAGGAGTTAGTGCGTTAATTCCGGCCAGTTCCATACGTTAATATCGTACGCCCCCAGTGTACGTTAAGGAACCCCGTAGTTGATTCTATTAATCGTTTTTTATAATCACTAGGTACTGAGAAATTTAGCGTTATGGAATGGCCTATGGCGTGATAAAAAATGAAATAACTTTAGATGATCATGTGATAGTGAAATTTTTTTATGGTAAAAATTTCATCAACGTGATCTTTGGCCCGTATTATGAAATTTGGCCAAAATTAACAATGTGGTGTTAAGTGCGACATGGTCACGTGAAATGAATTTCTTTTGAAATAATTTATCTTATTTATTATTATTTATGAAAATATAATTACATGAAGATTTTTTGTACCCACAAACAAAAAAAGAAANGATAAACAAATTTAAAGAACATTATAATTTAAAATAATATGTTAAATGAAATGAAATTAAAAATGCATTATTGGAAACATTAGAAGAAGAAAGAAAAATTTTATATAAAACTATTAAAAATTATGATTTAAATAATATTTTTAATTGTAATTATTGTAATTAAACAGGTAATTTTAAATTTTTTTAAAAAAAATAATTAAATAATATTTTAATCTTTTTTTTATTTTAAAACTATATTGGGATCTTAAATTTTTTAAATATTAGTACAAAGTTCACTTTCTGGAAAAAAAAAATTAAAAAATGTAATAAAATTACCTAACAGCTTAAAACCCTTCAATGGTTTATATAATCGCATAAATTTTTTACAATATTACAATATATATAATATATAATATTTATATATTATTATATTAGTCATAAACTCATAAACTAAACCTAATAATAAAATTTAACAATATAATATAATAAACCTACAGTACCTAAAGTAATTACAGTAATTGTATATTAAAACCTAATTGTAAATTACTTTACAACATATAAAATATTTCATATAACCAAGTAAAGTAAAATGGTATGTACATGCAACGAAAAGTAAGAAGCATGATGAAGACATAATACCTTACTTTTTTTCCTTAATGATTAGTGCCGCGTTGCAATTATCGTGGTTGAAATTGACGTGTAAAAATTGTATGTGAACTGTGCGAATGTGCATTTAGTTAAACGAACGAGTCATATGTTTCAAATGGTATAACAAAATAAAAAAAAAAATTATTGATAATTGTAGATGGTTTCCTTAAAGAATAACGTCAATATACTAATATCGGAACATATCACACAATGCAATGCATACGTACAGAAATAATACGGAATAGACGGAAGTTCATATCTGTACATTTATGTAATTTTTTTACATCAGGAGGTCAGTCACAAAAAAATGACTTGCATCTCCATCCCCACTTCGTTTTTATAAAGAATTTGAAACACGCATCGCCATGAATTAATGACTTGAATGCCACGATTTTTTTTAAATGAATTAACCCACATATCAAAATCTATAAAATCTATAAAAGTGTGTTACACTATAGTTTAATTAATTAATTAATTATTGTTTTGACATTTTTTATTCATTTACGATAAAAAAAAAAAAAAAAAAAAGGGATGATAGCTGCGATTACGAAATTTGGGGCCCACATTTTACATATTTTATGGGAACATTAGAATAAAGTTTAATTATTAAGATATATGGGAAATTATTGAATTTTGTGGAAGTTACACGATGCAGATATTCATCTCATTTAAAAGAATTTTTAGTTAAGATAATAAAAAAGTTAAAAAAAACTTAATAGTAAAAAAATAATGATAACGAAAAAATAATAAACCTTAAATGTTATTTTAGAAGAAATCAAGAATTATTCAGCCATAGATAAAAATGATAATAATGATAACTTTATTACAACCGGGGATATAGAGAAATTTTTGGTGTACCATAATAAAAAGTGTTTGTTAGGGTAAATCTTTGTTTATAATATAAATAAAACAATCTTGAATCCAAGAAGGTTGAAAAATAAATTATAATATACATACGAACACAGTAGGTAAGTATTTTTGTTCATCAAACCGATCGCGTATAATTTTTCCATTTCCTTCAAATCTTTCTCATTTACAATCAAGTTAAATCTAGAATATTTTTGATTGTTCTAAATACAGGGACTATGAATTCTTTAAAAGATAAAATAATTTTTAGCAATTGATGGTTACTGTGCTTTCATTCTATACATAAAAGTCGATATTGTGTGTAGATAATTTCTTTAATCTCCTTTTTTTTTNACCTCAAAAAACTTTTTTTGATAATTCAAAACAAAAATTTTCAAATTCAAAATCTCCTATCTCTACAACAAAATCTTCTTTTCCTACTATAAAGAAATTTTCTTTATCTCAACGTAGAAAATCTGATTCTGCTACTTCTAAATCAAAATTACCAAATAAATCATTAAAACGTCTTTCACTAGCTACAAATAAATCTGTTGCTGCTGAAAATACTGAATCTTCAACAACAATGGATTTTAATAGTAAAAGATCAACTAAAACAAATTTCTTTTCAACTAAAAAGAAATCTTCTATAATCGCTGAAGAACAATCACAACAATCACAACCAATTAATTCATCAATAGATTCAATATCTACTTCTAATGAACCTTGTTCACAAAATACTATGGAATCTTCAACAACAACATCAACATCAACATCAACATCTCCCGTTTCAGAATCAACTAATATTGAAACTTCTAATAATACACCTGAAACTAATGAAACTACCACTAATAGTAATAGTAATAATAATATGGAGATCACCACCTTCCTTGCTGCGCCACGTTTAACTCAACGTGTTAGATTAAGTTCTGGAAGAGTTGTTAGTTTTTCAGAAGTTGGTGATAGGAATGGTTTTCCTGTATTTGTATTTTTAGGAATGGGTTGTGTAAGATATTTTATTGCTTTCTTTGATGACTTGGCAAAAAGTTATAATCTAAGATTAATATGTCCTGACCGTCCTGGTATCGGTTTATCTGATGATGTCAAAGCTGAGGACCAACAAGTATTAAAATGGCCAGGTATATTACTGTCTCTTATACACATCTAGATGTGTATAAGAGACAGGTTTTATACCTAGTAACAAAGTAAAGAAGATTAATATAGTAATGATCAAGGGTTCTTTAATGTATGTCATCATCATAAACCCTAAAAAGTATAACCGTGGATGTGTCACTTAAAATTGCAAAATCGTTGGTAAACAAGTTATAGTTTATTACTTAATTTGGTAATTTTAAAATTACCACGTTGTAAACCAATCAATATAAATTTGATTGATCGACTTTTTATTATTTTTGAACCTCACTTTAAATTATTATGATCATGTTTATCTTCCATATACGAGGATAAATATTTATTATAGTTTATATTAGTGAAACAATTATTAAGAACGCGGTTCACTTTTTTTTTTATATTGGTAGAATAACCGGACGAGGACGGCGATATTCATCTGCAGTGTTTAGTTATGTGCACATACAAACAAAAAAAAAACCTACATTCCTAAACAATATCTATTTTCTTCTTCCCCCTTTAAACTTGTATTATACTTTTTCCTTTTCCTTTTTTTTCTCAGAAATCAAAATTTACCTTTTTCATTATATATATATAATTTTTGTGTATTATAATCATCTGTTTTTTATCTTTTTTTGTAATCATTACTTTATATTTTTACTGTAAGGTGCATGTATATTATTATTTTTATCAATTGATTATTTTATCTTTATATCAATTTTCTTTATATATAAAGACCTTCCATTTTCTCTTTTCCCCCCATTATTTTTTTTTGACGCGCAATTATAATTTCACGAAGAAAAAAATCATATTGTGTAAAAAACGAAAATTATCCCAAGCATTTATTTTAACAAGCATTTTTTTTTTTTTATTCTCTCTTCTCAAAAAAAAAAATTATCAAAATTATTTTACAAAAAATAAATAATATGTAAGTATATATTTTTCGTTCTTATCTGTACAATGGGTAACGTTTTTTTTTTTTTTTTT